CTGCAAAGACAAGGGAGAAGGGGGTTACCTCCTGGCCAGCACATGCTACAATGGCAACCTCTCCAGGTGGTGTCTGGCCCAGATCATGGGGATGATGGATTTCTTCTCAAATTTTACCACAGAGCCTGGCAGCCAGGGCAGCCACAGTTGGAGGTAGCCCAGGGTGCTTTTCCCAGCCGAGATGCTCACCTCTCTGGCTAAGGCCAGGAAATTGCTGTTGAGCTGGACATTGGACATGATCTCTGTTAAGTCCTCGTACTCCTCCACATCCTCGTTCAGCTCCAGGAAGACCCCATGGCGGCCCAGCATAAAGGCCATCTGCTTCTGGACAACTCTGTGCAGAGGGGAGGGGTTTCCTGAGAGTCCAGAACCCAGCAAGCCCCAGCACAAACAGAGGTTCACCAAGCAGTGAGCCAACCTGCCCTGCCCAGGGCATACAGACATGACCCACTCCTGCTCATCCTCATTTCAGGGACAAGAGTCTCAATCCAAAACCCCGGACACCTCTAACAGTGACAGATCCAACCTATCTCTGCCCAGATGGGGAGCCGTGCCCCACCAGGATGAGCAAAGGCTGCAGAGGGCAGGGAACATCTCTGCTTACACATCTTTGCAGGAAGTGAAGATGTCCTCCACCAGCTCCACATCATTGAGCATCAGAGCCAGGCGCAGGGCTTCAGGGTAGCGATTGAATTTGCGGAAGATGCCCAGGGCACAGCGCAAGAGAGCCGAGTTCTCGGGCTCCGGGACATAGCTTACACAGCTTCAAGGAGGAGACAGACATGAGGGTGACAACCAGATCAGGCAACCTTGGCCCAGCAGGGATCAGGCCCTGTCCAGCACCTCAGCCTGCCAAGCCCCCTCACCTGGTCAGGTAGAGGCACACTTTGGAGTAGGCATTGTCATCGATGTACTTCTCCAGCATGTCCATCTGCTCTATCTCCATGAGCAGGTCACAGGCCTCATGCTCTGCGTTGTGGGCCATGTTGTAGGGGACGATCTCCTTGACCAGGGTGAGGAGTGTGTCCCTCTGAGCCTTGTCAGCTTCATCAATCTCCTGCCACTCCTTGGCCACCTCTCCTGCCAAGTGCCTGCAGGAACAAAGGGACATCACCACTACAAAAACCAGTTTCACTGAGCCATGAGAATGGGGAGCAGCTGCTCCCAGTTAGCCAGGCCTGTGCGCTGTTTATGGAGGCTCTGCATTCTGCACACCTTATGGGGGACAAGGCCAGAGGAGAAACAAGGTTAAGACCAGAGATTTCAGAGGCCATGGCAGCAAGACCTCTGCAGCATGAATAGAGCATGAAGCGACACAAGCGCAGGTGTGATAAGGACAGCTGAACACATGACCAGCTAGTCAAGACACATCCCACACAGGCCAGAGCTAAAGTGCTCCAGGAAATTCCCCTAAGCCCTTATCCTTCCCTTTGGGTCCCCCTTAGGCTTACCTGACGTATTCATGCCCCCAGGATGCCAGCTCCTCTTGGGAACCCACCAGCCGGTACTTCAGACACTCACGCTCCCCACTCATGGTCATGGCCAGGACAGAAATGATGTCTGCTGCAAAGCGCTGCAGAAAGAATGCAGAGCTCCAGACACAGGCCAGGCACAGGGAACCAGGGGCAGCCAGGGACACAACACCCTCCCTGTGCCTGCAAACCACCACAGGTGGCAAAGGTACAATCCTGACAAGTTATAATCCCCTGGAGCAAGTCACACAGAGTGCTTTTAGATCCCTGGGTCCAGAGGGCTCTGCGATTGCCTGCCCCAGCACTGTCCCCTGAGTCACATGGGATGGTGGGGCCAAGAGTTTATACCTTGTTCTCTCCTGGAGCCATGTTCTCATAGATCTCCTTCAGCTTGCCATAATGGGGCCGTAGGAACTTGAGGGGTTTGGGAACGGAGGTCATGGAGGTGGTGGAAGAGCGGATCTGCCTCCGCAGCTCCTCCAGGGCTGGGCGGTAAAGTGACGTGTCTTTCTCCTGCAGAGGGAAGCTGCCTGTCAGGGAGCAAGGGGCTGGTTCCTGAGCCACCACCTCACCAGCCCTCCCCAAACACAGCCATGGCTCTTAGCAGAACAGCCCCACACCCTGGGCTGCCTCCTGCAGCCCAAGAGCCGGAGAAGGAGGGCACAGCAGGGCAGAAAGCCTCTCTCACACCAGGGACACAGAGGTCCCTCGGGCCCAGGTCAGACAGGCAGCAAGGCTGGAGGACAGATCACAGCAGACAAGCAGGGGCCCACCCCACTCACAGTAAAATCCTCCCATCTCCACTGCACTAGGAACAGCCACAAGCAAGAGACAGACAGAGTCAAATCCTAGCCAGGACTCCTTGCTGAGGGACATAGCACAGACTCACCCCCAGGCGCTCCACCAGCATCTCCAGCTCATCTTGCAGCTGCTTGTCCTCCTCAGACTGCCAAAATACACAGAAAAAAGCAAAGTTAAGGGTGCAGAGCACAGGAAGTCTGAGTGTGACAGAGGCAGGGATGTCACCCCAAGCCACAGGGGTACCAGGACAAAGGGATGCACTCATTGCTCAGGACACCACCCTGCCCCAGTGCTGCCAGGGTGGAGCAATGCTCCTTCCCAAAGAAACCACCCATTCCCGGGGTGTGAGATGCACCTCTCCTATTACTCTGTGCTGTATAAAAACAGCCCCACAGAGAGGGGCACGTCAGGTCACAGTCCAACGGGGGGCACCCCACTGACAGCAGCCCCTTCACCCACAGACTGTGTCCCTCAGCCCACGGGGATCCCCTGAGCCAAGGTCAGCCCGTGCTGGGCAAAGCGGGGATCCCTCCATAGCGCCCACTGCCACACACACCCCCTGGTTACACCACAGCTTCCCTCACCAACGCTGCTCTGGGACCCCCGGGCCCCCCGCCCAGAAAGGGGAACCCTCGATTGCGTCACGCGGGCACCCCATGACGTCCCGGGGCCCCGCCGGAGGGAACCCCTCGCTGCCGTCAGGCGGCCGCGCTGGAGGGAGTCCCCGGAGGGATGCTGGCCGCCCCCGTGACGTGGGATGACGTTCGGTTCCCGGAGGGATGCCGGCCAACCCCGTGACGCGAGATGACGTCCTGCCCCGCCGGTGACGCGGGCCCGAACGGGCCGTGACTCAGCTGCGGCCCGCGGCGCGGCGGCACTCACCAGCTCCTGCTCCTTCTCGGGCCCGGAGGGCGGGTCCCGGCGGTCCCGGCCCCAGGGCGGCGTGGGTTTCTCGTCGCCGCCCGCCCCGGGGCCGCCCTGCACCCGGCTCTGTCCGCCGCCACCGCCCGCGTCCATGTTCGCCCGGCCGTGCTTCCGCCGCACCGCGCCTGCGCAACGCCGTGACGGCACCGCCGCGCGCCGGGGGCGGGGCCAAGGGCGGGGCGGCCCCACGTGCTGGGGGCGCCGGTACCGGCACCGACACTGAAACCGGCACCGACACTGCCACTGCCACCGGCACCAACACTGACACCGGTACCGACACTGAAACCGGTACCGGTACCGACAATGACACCGGCACCGGCACTGAAACCGGTACTGACACTGATACTGTCACCGGTACCGACACTGACACCGGCACTGACACTGAAACCAGTACCGGCACCAACACTGAAACCGACACCGATACTGAAACCGGTACCGACATTGACAATGACGCCGGCACCGACACCATACTGACACGGGCATAGACATTGACGCCGGCAGCGGCACTGGCACCGGCACTGACCCTGACACCGGTACCGACACTGAGACACCAGTATTGACACCGGCACTGGCACCAACAGTGGCACCGGCACTGATGCTGACACCGGCTGCTGCACTGCCGGCTGGAGCCCCGGGGTTCCACCACCTTGGCACGGGCAACGCTGCCACCCGAGCTGGGCAAGTGAAGCAGCATTGCTGGCAGGCTTGCCGTGGCCCCCGCAGGTCACAGACACCCGTGGGCAGCCTGGTGCCCCACCACCCGTGTTCACACACACCCCTCCATGCTGTGTCCCTGGCTGGATGGACAGGGCGCTGCCCAAACCAGGTGGCGCTGCCCAAACCGGTACCCGGTCCCGCCTGGTACCCTGGGGAGCACTTTCACCCCCTGAACCCCCGGGCACCGAGCGGGTGACCTGCGGGGAGCCCTGTCCCGGACAGGGGGTCACACAGGGCTGGGAGCTATCGGGGCAGGATGTGAAGTTGTGCACAACCCCGGCCTTTGCTCACTGCCAAGGCTCTGACCACGGCTGTGCACCCCTGCGTGCGTGTGGCGTGGGCCTAGGGGTGACATCGGGGTGCCGTCCTTTCGGTACCGGGGCGGGGTGTCAGTGTGCATCCAGCTGTGCGGGTGCTGCGCTGGGGGTGTGCCCGCGTGCCGGTGCACGGCGTGCTGCCGCCGCTGTGGACCATTACCGGCCGCTGCCGGCGCCGGTGACCGGTACCGTGCGGAGCTGCTGTGCCCCCCTGAGCGCTGAAGACAGGAGCCGCTCCTTGTGTCCCTGTCTGCGTGTGCCGGTGCCGGCTGCGGGCCAGCAGCATGTGAGCCCGAGTTGTGCTGCCCGAGTCGGTGAGGGCGCCGGTCCGAGCGCCGGTGTCGGTGAGGGAGGCTGCGGGTGCCTTTGCGGCTCTCCGGGGGTGCAAGCGGCGGTGCCGGTGCCGATACCGGTGCGGAGCTCCTCCCGTGAGCACGGCGGTCACCCCGCTGGGGCGGCCGGGCCGAGCGGAGCTGAGCGGTGCCACTGGGCTGGGCACCGGGGTCGCCGCTCCAGCCCCTCCCGGCTCCCGTCGCCCCCGCCCGGTGTCTGCGGTCCGCGCGCCTCCGGTCTCAGCCCCTGCGGCTCCATCCCTCCGGCGCGGCCCCATCGCCACCCGGCCCCATCCCTGCCCAGCCCCGGTGCCGGTCTTGGCGGCAGCGCGGCGCCCGGTGCGGGCCATGGCGGCGGCGGAGGCAGGCGGCGCTGCGGCGGCGGCGGGGGCCCGGCGCGGCCCGGGCGGGGAGCGGAGCTAGGCAGGAGGCGGCCCGGGATGGCCAGGATGAACGTGGCCCTACAGGAGCTTGGACAAGCCGTGAGTGCCCGGGGCAGCGGCGCGGCAGGGAGGAGAGCAAGAGGAGGGGGGACGGGGGACAGCGGCGAGGGGCTCGGCGAGGGGGGGAGGAGGGGGTCGGGGCACAGGAGAGCCCCGGGGCTGGAGAACTCAAGGAGCTGGAAGGGCTGCGGAGGCTTCGGGAACCAGAGGGAGGGAGGGCGGGGGGGACTGGCGGATTACGGGGGGCGGCGAGAGCCTATGGGATGCAGGGGCTGCGTGGTGCCGGGGCTAAGGGAACTGAGTGGCTAGAGGGTCCCTGTCTCCCATGGTGGAGGAAGAGGGACCCCCCCACCCTCCAAATCCCTGCCTGGGAATGGACAGAGGGAACTGGAGTGGTTCAGCCCCACAAACCCCACTCCACCGAGTACGGTAATGCTGCTCATAGGGTGAGCCCCAAGACAGCACCTCTGGAGGGGGCAGGGGGCCCTGTCCCCATGGGTCTCAGCCCTACAGAGGGGGTAGGAGGAGCCCCAGAAATAGGCTCCTACCTTGAGGATGCCACAGAAGATGCTGGAGAGGGGGTGCTGGTTATTGCCCAGGATGAGGACCACCCAGGAGCAGAAAGGAGCACGATGAAGAGAGCTGGGGTGGTGGGGGGGCCAGGCTGGCCAAGCTCCTAGAGGATGCTGAGCAATCCTTCCTAATGCCAGCATCTTCCAGGAGCCTGACTCAGTGGGGGGCTCCTGCCATCTCCTGCCAATCCCACCCTCCTGCTGCAGCCCTTGGCAATGCCCCCTCCTCATCCCAGCAGTGTGGCAGTGGGCAGAGCTGGGCATGAGGCACTCTCCTTGCTTTCCCCCCTGCCCATCATCCATCCCACCCCAGCTCCTTCCCGGCCTGTGACACCAGCCCTGCAGGCTGGGCATTCACTTTAGTCTGCAGCACAGGCTGGAGGGTGAGCTGCAACTCACCCAGCCGTTAACTCTGAAGCCTAAGGATAGCTCACAACCAGCGGCACTGCTGATTCCCTTCCACCAAAACCTCCAGCATTTTCTTCTGGCTTATCCCCCCCACCAATGCTGCTGGCTCCACTCCACCACCTCCCTCTTGGCTGAGTCCTCAGCAGCCCTCACGGCTGGATCTGTGCAAGCTGCCTGGCAAGGCCAGGAGTAAGGGGGACCCTGCCCTGCTGGCTGGTTCACACTGCAGTGCCCCTTCTCCCCTTGCACACTCTGTCCTGCATCCTGGTCACCCCCAGAGCATGATGGAGCTGGAAGAACTTCCAGATGTTTCAGACCGGTGCACATCTGCATGGAAAGTTCCAGTCAGGGGAGGAGGGGTGAGACAGCAGTACTAGGAAACCGTTGCTTGGTGACGGGGACCATGTCTCCGTGGCGATGTGTCACCTGTCGGCAGGGCTGGTGCCATGGCTGTGCAGAGGGATGCTCCGGTGACGGCCCCCCAAGCCCCTCATTAGCAGTGCTCCCCGAACTCTCCAGGGCCACACAGGCCTGGGGACAACCTCTGAGGGAGGCCCAGGCACACTGAGGGGGGTCAGGGGCTGCCTCAGCCCCGCTGTGTACTCACTGAGCAGGCACTCGGCCCTGCCATAAGAGCCAGAGGGTGTGGCAGGGTGGGGAACAGCTACCCCCACGCCCCTGCCCCAGCACACTCCCTCCCTTAGCAGATGCCCAACTACAAGCGTGCCACGCTGCAGGACGAGGAGGGGCCGGAGCCAGCGGGGGATGGCAGTGCCTCTCCCGACAGCGTGGAGGTGAGGTCTGCCCCGGTTTCTCCATCCTTCCCCTCTCCATACTCTCTAGCCCCTGTCCTTACCCTCTGGGGCCTGCCTGCAACCAAGTGGGCAGTGGGAGCAGGGTTGGGAGCCAAGCCAGACATGGCTGTCCCCAGGGATGTGCTGGGAGTCAGCCAAAATGCGGCACAGAGTGTGCCTGGACGATCGTCCTTCCTTGTGGCTTGCGGGGGGGCTGCCAGCACCCACCACCGGCTTGCCAGGGCTGGTGGGGAGGGATGCCCTGGTCCCCACCTCCTCATGCAGACACACCAGGCACTGGGGAGTGGCAGGGAGGGAAGGGGGGGCAGTGATGTTTGGCCCCCCATGGTGCGATGGCAGGTCCTGCTCCTGCCCAGGTGGGGTTCCGGAAGGGGCCAGGGACGCTGCTGAGCCGCCTGGCCTCACGCAGCCAGCTGGAGCTGGTGCTCTGCGCCATCGCCGTCTCCCTGGCCCTGCTGCTCAGCGTCGCCATCATCACTCTGGCCATTCAGTACCGCAGAGGTAGGGAGACTTGGCAGCGGTGTCCCCACACCTGGGAGGACACGGGAGGATGAGGAGTGAGGGGTCAGCCCAGGGTACCTGCTCCAGGTGCTCTGCCCATCCTGGGGTACAGACAGGGCTTGGCCCCGCTCCGTGCCTCGGCTTTCCCCAGCACACTCGCCCAGCCCCAGGCATGCCTTCCCTGCCAGATCCCTCTCACAGCACGTGCCTGACGGATGCCTGTGTCCGGGTGGCCAGCAAGATCCTGGAGGCCCTGGATACAGAGATGGACCCGTGCCAGGACTTCTACCAGTACTCGTGTGGGGGCTGGATTAAGAGGAACCCGCTGCCCAATGGGCGCTCCAAGTGGAGCACCTTCAACAGCATCTGGGACCAGAACCAGGCCATCATGAAGCATCTCCTAGGTGGGCACCAAGGGGTCACAGACACTGAGGGGGTGACCCCCATGTCACTGGGGCTGACCCACAGCCTCCCGCAGAAAACGCCACCTTCAACTCCAGCAGCGAGGCAGAGCGGAAGACACAGCGGTACTACCTGTCCTGCCTCAAGGAGCAGAGGATAGAGGAGCTGGGCTCCCAGCCCCTCATGGAGCTCATCGACAAGGTGGGCAGACACCCACATGTGAGCTGAGCTTCAGGGCTCAGCCCAGCACACCTCTTGCTTAGCTCTTCACATAACCAGGGAGGGAGTAAACCTTGGGGATGCACCCCATCCTCTCTGACATGCCGGGTCTGTCTGCTGGCAGATTGGGGGATGGAATATCACTGGCTCCTGGAATCAAACCAGCTTCATGGAGGTACTCAAGAGCGTGTCAGGCACATACCGGGCAACCCCCTTCTTCACAGTGTATGTGGGTGCAGACTCCAAGAGCTCCAACAGCAACATCATCCAGGTTGGCACCTTGGCCTCCAGGGGTGGCAGACACCAGGGGACACCAGAATGTCTACACTGCCCCTCTCTCCCCCCAGGTGGACCAGTCAGGGCTTTTCCTCCCATCCCGGGATTACTATCTGAACAAGACTGCCAACGAGAGGGTGAGGCTGGGTGCTGGGCATGCTGCCAACAGCAGTCAGGGGAAACCCATGGCAATGGGGTGCGAGCAGCACTGGGACACACCTGGCATCTCCATCCTGCCTGTTGGGTGCCCACCCCAGGGAGGTGGGATGAGCTGTTGTTGGCACTGAGGCAGGGCTTGGGGTTCCACAGGTTCTGGCAGCGTACCTGGACTACATGGTGGAGCTGGGCACACTGCTGGGGGGCACCCCGGAGCCCACCCGCCTCCAGATGCAGCAGGTGCTGGACTTTGAAACCCAGCTGGCCAACATCACCGTGCCCCAGGCTGAGCGGCGGGATGACGAGAAGATCTACCACAAGATGAGCATTGCCGAGCTGCAGGTGGGCATGGCCCAGAGCAGCCTGGGGAGACCCTTCTGGGACATATGGGGGCACCAAGGGGTCCGTACCCATTGCTGTCCTCGCTCTGGGACACCCTAGGCAGCCCCATCTGCTGTGGGACATGCACTGGGTGTTGAAAAGCAGTGCCCATCCCCCCAGTTGTTACCATCTGGGGGAAGCTGCCGGCTCATATTGTGGGATCCAGGGGTCCCCTCCTTGTCCTGCAGCATTAAGAGCAGCAGGAGGGGTGCAGAGAAGGATCTGGAGTGGTAAGGGACTTTGAGTCCTTCCCAGAAAACACAGTTCCTGCCCCAGGAATTGAGCATGCTGAGCAGGATGCAGCATAGCTATGCCAAACCCCTGGTGCCACTTTCCTGTGTCCCCTCCAGCTGCTGGCCCCTGCCATTGACTGGCTGGATTACCTTTCCTATGCCCTGGCGCCACTGGAGCTGGCGGACACAGAGCCTGTGGTTGTGTATGGGGACACCTACCTTCAGCAGGTCTCTGACCTCATCAATGACACTGACAGGAGGTGAGGCTCCTTCATATCCCTGGCTGTGGCCCCCACAGCAGGGACACATTTTGGGCTCATCAGTGTCTTGAAGTCATAGACCGTGTGAGCTGCAGCATCTCTCTGCCCCCGCAGCATCCTGAACAACTACCTGATCTGGAACCTGGTGCAGAAGACCGCCTCCAGCCTGGACCAGCGCTTCGAGACAGCCCAGGAGAGGCTGCTGGAGACACTCTATGGCACCAGGAAGGTAACAGAGGGCCCTGGGATCAGACCCCTCTGCACTCATCCTGGGAGCAGCCAGGACCTCCTCTGTCCTTCAGATGCCCTTGGGATGCTAAGACCTGGATGCTTCAGTGGGAACCCACTTATCTTTTGAGATGGGGGTTTTGCTGCTGCCTATCTCCCCTGTGATGAGGCAGAGCCAGGCTGGGTGAAGGCAGGGGAGCAGGGGAGTGGCTGAGGGTTTCACGGACCTTCATCTCGCTCCCACAGTCCTGCACGCCCCGCTGGCAAACCTGCATCTCCAACACAGATGACACACTGGGCTTTGCGCTGGGCTCTCTCTTCGTCAAAGCCACCTTTGACCGGGACAGCAAGGCCATCGTGAGAATACTTCTGTCCCCATCCCCTCCCCATCACCATCCGTGGTTCCTCCCCAGTTCTATCCAAGCCCCAGGGCTGGAAGGCAGGGAGCTGGAAAATGGGACCCCTAGCCCTGGGGAGGTTGTACCCTGTCCACCCTGCCCCACCGAGGCATTGTGGGGGGAAGGGGGCCTTCATTCTCTCCCCTCCCCAGGCTGAGGAGATGATCAGCGAGATCCGTGCAGCCTTTGAGGTATCCCTGGACCAGCTGGACTGGATGGATGAGAAGACCAGGCAGGCTGCAAAGGAGAAGGTGACCCCAGGGAGGGAAGTAGACGGGAAACCTCACTCTGTCCATATAAGTCCCCCAGTCTCACTGCTGGGGCCTCTCCCCATGCAGGCGGATGCCATCTACGACATGATTGGCTTCCCTGACTTCATTCTGGACAACAAGGAGCTGGACGACGTCTATGATGGGGTAGGGGGCACCTGGCTTGTGGGGGAGAAGCTTGGTCATGCCAAGCTTGGGGGGGCCCCATTGTTGAGCGATGTCCCTATTTGGGACATTATGCAAAGCCACCCAAGCACTGAGTTCATCCTGGCCAGGGTGTGGGGAACCACCTCAGTGTCCTCATCCCTCCTCTTCCTCACCAGTACGAGGTCTCTGAGGACTCCTTCTTCCAAAACATGCTCAACTTCTACAACTTCTCTGCCAAAGTGATGGCTGACCAACTCCGGAAGCCCCCCAACCGCGACCAGTAAGGGGTGGGCTAGGGTGGGGAGGAGGGGAGGATGTGATCCTGGGTGGCACTGGTTCAGTGGGGAGGAGGTCACCCTCAAGGGGTAGCACAGCACAGTAGGTCACCTGTGGTAGCACAGGTCACCTGTGGTAGCTGTAGCTTATCCCCAGGCAAGGTCCTTGGTAACAGCATGGGGGCAGAAGTGTCAGCCTTGGGCAGGGCCCTGTGGTGGGCAGTGGCACAGGAGGGCGCTGGGGCTGGGGTGAGAGGGACACACCCCTGCCTGTACCCTGTCCCACCTCCCTGCCCAGGTGGAGCATGACCCCACAGACTGTCAATGCCTATTACCTGCCCACCAAGAATGGGATCGTCTTTCCTGCTGGGATCCTCCAGGCTCCCTTCTACGCCCGCAACCACCCCAAGTGAGTCTGGCATGGGGGGCACCTCCTGGAGCCATGGGTTGGATCAGAGCCAGCATGCCACAAAGTCCCCCCACAGTCACAAACAAAAGCCCTGAAGGCCTTGAGTGTCCCTCAAGGCTTTACATGCTGCAGTCAAGACCGCCTGAGTCCCCTTAGGGCCACCAGTGTCCCCAACAGGAGTGATTCCCAGCTGGGTTCCAGCTGGAGCAGAGTGTCATGGGGTGCCCAGACAGAGATGGGGTGGCTGCAATGGCATCATTAACACATCCTGTACTTACCTGGTTTTTTCCCATGGCTCCACAGAGCCCTTAATTTTGGTGGCATCGGCGTGGTGATGGGGCACGAGCTGACCCATGCGTTTGACGACCAAGGTGAGAGCACACAGGCAGCGCTGGCCCTGACCCCTGTCACCTTCCTGTCCCCCCCAGCCCCTGCCCCTGGCATGGGGAAGAGGTGCCCTGGGTGCACAGGGGTCCCGCTTTGCCATCCATTGCATCGTGTGTGCTCGTGCCCCCCTGGCCACCCCCTTCTATCGTCCTGTCTCCCCAGGTGGCACCTGCCGATACCTTCCCCCGGCTTCTCTGTGCAGCTTTCGCTTCATCCGCTTGGTGAGGACACAGTGTCTGCAGCCCCAGCCCCCTTCTCATCCTCCTCCCTCCAGGGCATGGGATGGGTCCCTCTCGCATCCACTCTGCTTTGCACCTTCACCTCAGCCCCGGAGCCGACATGGGGTCAATGAGGGAATTTGGGGTCACAGATCTGGGCTGGGATAGCAAGAATGCACTGGGGGATGCCTGGGGACCCAAGTGCATGGCTGAGCCCTGGGCAGAGCCTGCCCACAGCAGGGGCTGGAGGATGCCTTCTCCCCTGGGCATAGACCCAAGGTGGCAGGTCCCCCTGGCATCCCCCGGTGCCCATTCCCCCACCACACCCCATTCTGCCTCGGGAACCCCTGCAGCTGAGGGGCTGCAGAGGGACGGCTTCCACTGGTCCCACCCCAACCCACGGCTCGGTCCTGCAGGACGGGAATATGACAAAGAGGGAAACCTGCGGCCATGGTGGCAGAACTCCTCCCTGGAGGCCTTCAAGAACCGGACGGCGTGCATGACGGAGCAGTACGGCCGCTACACCATCCACAGCGAGAAGGTCAACGGGCGGCAGACCCTGGGCGAGAACATCGCCGACAACGGCGGGCTCAAGGCAGCCTACAACGTGAGTGCCGCCATCCCGAGGGGCTACGAACCCCCTGCCTGTCTGTCCCTTCCCGGAGCTTCAGGCCAGCTCTCCCGCAGGCTTACAAGTCCTGGCTGCAGAAGAACGGGGAGGAGAAGCGCCTGCCAGCCCTGGGGCTCACCAACCACCAGCTGTTCTTCGTGGGCTTTGCGCAGGTAGGGCGGAGCAAGGTGATGGGCTCCCGTGCCTCCCTGGCTGCTCGGAGCCACCCCGCAGCTCCCCATCCCGCACCGGGGGTGCTCTGTCCCCATCCCTGAGGCCGCTCCCGCTCCGCCAGGTGTGGTGCTCCGTCAGGACGCCCGAGAGCTCCCACGAAGGGCTGGTGACCGACCCCCACAGCCCCGACAAGTACCGTGTCATCGGCACCCTCAGCAACTCCCGGGACTTTGTCGAACACTTCGGCTGCCCCCTGGGCTCCCCCATGAACCCCGGCAAGCACTGTGAGGTGTGGTAGGGACGGGGAGGGTGCTGGGGACAGAGGGGATGATACTCTGCTGTGCTCCCCCTCCCCAGACCTTTGGAGCTGGCCACGGGCAGAGAGCAGTCCCCTCCTGTGCTCACACTGCACACCCCACCTCTGCACCCTCCCCGGCACACACGGCCCCACGCCAGGCACCCACCGCAGCCCCATCCACGCCTTGGGGCTGGGCACGGCCGGCAGAGAGGCTGTAGCACCCCCAAAACGCAGTTCTGCCCCCCAGCCTTGATGTGCTTGAGTCGGGCCCAGCTCAGTGTCCCCTGCGCTGCGTCCCCCCCTCAGGCGGGCAGGTCAAAGGGGTCCCGGGGAAAGCATTAGAGCCACGATGCCCCTGCTCCTGCCCCCAACCCGCCGGAGATGGAGGCTGGGGGCCACCCGGCTCCGCGCTTCCCTTGTCCCCTCCCACTCCAGCTTGGCTTCCCCATCCACCTCTGCTGGGACCAGCGGGCGGCAGCGGGGACTCTGGTGCCTTCAGCTGTGGGTGGCTGTCGCCGAGTTTATTTAACGATTAAAAGCAGTTTCCACTTACTCCAGCAGCTCCGGGTCCTTGGCGGTGCCGGGGCGGGGGGAGAGGTGGGATCTGGGGGGTGGCTGCAAGGCTGGGGACGCGTGGGAGGCGAGACACCCCGGGAGGGGAGCGGGGGCGAGATGTCTGCATGGACATTCCCTGAGGGAAGCGAGGTGCGGGGAAGAACACGGCAAGGCTGGTGGGGACGACTCAGAGCCACGGGAGTTCCCTGCCTGTCCCGAGCCTCCACTCCGGGCTTCCGGGGCCCGCCCCGGCCCGTCCCGCCCCGCACAGCGCGGCCCCAGCCCCACCCCGGGGTCTCCCGAACTCCCGGTACCGGGACCCCGCGGGACTCCTCGGCCGCGGACAGCGGCGCTCGCAAAGGTTGCTGGGAGTCGTGGTTCTGCTGCGGACGACGCAGAGCATGACAGGAGCTGTAGTTCAGCGTGAGGGATGCTGGGAGGGGTAGTTCGGTCACGGCAGGCCCGGCGCTTCACCACGAGGGCTGGACTACATTTCCCAGCAAGAAGCGCGGTAGGGCCGGGGTCCGGGTCTGGGCGCCTCGGGGGTACGGGGGCATCGGGGCCGGGCGCGGCGGCGGGGCCGGGCCGAGACCGAGCGGGGGGCTGGGCCGGGACAGATCGCGGGGGCCGGACCCGGGTGGGAGCCCGGGCCAGGCCCCGGGCTGGGTCACGGGTGCTGGGCCTCGGCCCGGTCCCGGGTGCGGGACTGGGCCCCGGCTGGGCCCGGGATGCAGGGTCGAGGCGGGTACCGGGCACCTGTGGGTGCTGAAGGTGAACTGCCCCCAGTGGGCAGGCTTGGCCCTGGGGCGGCAGAGCGTGGGGACAGGGGCGGAGGAGCATCCCTGCCTTGGGGTCAGAGGCAATGAGACAAAGCGCTGCCTTGGGGACAGGGATCCAGGGACACCCCTGCCTCCAGAACAGGGCCAGTGGGATCTCCCTCTCATGGGTGACACGGCCCCATTCCCCAGACAACATGCTCACCTTGCAGGCGTTGTCGCCCAAGCCTGGCACCATGGACAAACCCATCACTCCGGGGGAGCTGCTGTGTCTGGGCTCCAGCCTCGCCTTCTCTGGCCTCTTCTATTACCTGTACAGGAGGAAATCCAGAGTCGTGGCACGCATACAGGTAGCCCTGTCTCTTAGATGCTCTTTCCTGCCCCCTGTCTCTTCCCTACTGCCCTCCACGCTTTGATTTGGGTGCACACGCTGATGCCTGCAGCCTGCTCCATCCTCTGGCGACTTCATGACATGCACATCTGAACAGGCCACATCTTGCAGGCCAGAGATCTCCACAGAGCCATTCTTGGCCTATTCACTGCCCTGTCCCTGCCCATACTCACACTCAGTCCATGCTCTTCCAGGAGGCCCCAAAGCTCCAGGTCGATGACAATTTGCCAGCCCTGGTGTCTGCAGCTGAGGGGCGCTGCCTGCCTTATGTTGCCCTGGAAGGTAAGGACACCCTGTGCCCTGCACGAGGGACAAGGGCCAGGATCTCCTCTTTTGGCTGTGACACATCCCTTGTCCTTAGGCATAGTGCTGCCAGCCCAGGCTGCACTGAGCAGCCACTACCATGAGGGGCTGCAGGGCGTGATCCAGAAACTGCTGCTGAAGGAGCATCGGCTGATCTGGAACAGCTTGGCCCGAAGCTGGTGAGTGATGAGAAGGAGCCGCAGGAGGGGGCTTGCAGCAGCGAGTCCAGACCCCATCGTCTGGGGCCACGTGAGAGGCAGAAAATAACTTGGTTAAAGACTTTAGTCCTTATGCTTAGCTCAGCACTGAGAGCTCAGAGCTTCACAGTGTTGTGGCCAGCAGGAGCAGGGCAGTGATCATCCCCTGGTACTCCGCACTGGTGAGGCCACACCTCGAGTCCTGTGTCCAGTTCTGGGTCACTCAACTCAGGAAGGCCACTGAGCTGCTGGAGCAGGTCCAAAGAAGGGCAGCAGAGCTGGTGAAGGGCTGGAGCACATGTCTGATGAGGAGCAGCTGAGGGAACTGGAGGAGCTGAGTTTAGCCTGGAGGAGACTCTGGGGTGGCCTTATTGCTCTCTCCAAGCCCCTGAAAGGAGGCTGTAGCCAGGTGGGGATCAGCCTCTTCTCCCAGGCAACCAGTGACAAGACAAGAGGAAATGGCCTCAAGCTGTGCCAGGGGAGGTTTTGGTTAGAGATTAGGGAGAACTTCACATGGAGGATGATTAGACATTGGAATGAGCTGTCCAGGGAGCAGGAGGCTTCACCACCAGGGGGGCGGTGGAGCTGACATCCTTGGAGGTGTTTCGGGAAAGACTGGACATGGCATTTAGTGCAGTGGTCCAGTTGACAGGCTGATATTCAGGCATAGGCTGAACATGATGATCTCAGAGGTCAGCCTGACTGATTGTGTGATTCTCCACACCCCAACCCTCTGCACTTGCAGGAGCGAGAGCGAGCGGGTGCTCTCAGAGCAGATCTACACAGTCCCCTTCGTGCTGGCCTCGCCAGGCCCTGAGGCAGCCACGCAGGTGAGTGTGGACAGCCCACTCCAAGCCGTCTGCCTGCCCCTGGAGATGGTGTACGAGCGCTTCCAGCAGCCATCCCACGGCTTCCGCGACCTGCTGGGCCAGTACCTGATCGGGGAGAAGCCCAAGGGCATCCTGGAGACCGAGGAGATGCTGCGGGTGGGGGCCGGGCTGACGGGCATCGGGGAGCTGTCCCTGCACCCCGACGGCTCCCTGCACCTCCAGCCGCCGGCCCAGGGAGGCGAGTTTTTCCTGTGCCTGGGGGACTGGCAGACGGTGCTGTCGGAGCTGGAGTCGGCCAGCGGGCTCTGGAAGGGGGCAGCGCTGCTGTGCGCGGCGGCGGGGCTGGCCGTCCTCCTGCACGCCCTGTGCCGCGCCTACCGCCGCTCCCGCCCCAAGCAGCCACAGGAGGACAAGGAGCTGGATGGGGAGGAGACCGGCGAGCGGGCGCCCGAGGACTCCTGCGTGGTGTGCCTGTCACGGCCCCGCGAGTGCGTCCTCCTGGGCTGCGGCCACATCTGCTGCTGCTTCCGCTGCTTCCAAGCCTTGCCCACCCGCCTGTGCCCCATCTGCCGGGGGCCCATTGAGCGCGTGGTGCCCCTCTACCAGGCCTGAGAGCAGCTGGGGGTGCCCAGGGAGGGGCAGCGTGAACCGGGCCAAGCCTGGAGCCTGCAGAAATCTCAGCTGTCTACTCGCACACAGCTGTGCAATTCCTTTTGGGAGGGAGGGGCCTTGGTGTGCCCTTCAATCTGTTTTGGGGAGAGGGGGGGAGTTACAGCCTCCTCATCCTTCCTTTGTCTGCCAGAAGGACCCCCCTAAACATGAAGGCTCGGGGAAAATCTACACAATGCCTGAGCTGAGGAGCTGAGACCCCAGCCACACACTGGGGCACTACTTTGGCTCCCAGCTGTTGGACTTGTGTCTCTTTCTGAGCCATCACCTCCCAAAAGCCACACAGGGCTTCTCCCTTGTGGCTTTTTTCTAGTGTGTGGATTTATGGGGAGGATTATGAGGGCAAGACCAGGGCTGCTGGGACACAGCAGGCGCATTTGAGTGGCAGAGACCCAAACTCCCCTGATCCACTGCAGTGACATACCTTGGTGCCACCTTTGTCCTGCCACCCCAATCCATGTGCCTACAGCCACTGCCCAGATGACACTGGGGACACCCAAAGGCTGCCAGTGATGAGTCCCTTTGCCAGCTGCTCTATCACCAAGATGGGAGCTGTGTCCCACTGTCACTCTCTGCAGGGAGAGCAGCTTTAAAGTGCCACAGAGCCTGCCCTCATGTCCAGCCCCACTGCACCCGGCTTTCCTGCTGACCTCCCAGACGGGACTGGGTGTGGGAATGACTTGCAGTGGTGTGTGGAGTGATAAAGCCAAGGAGCTGAGCTTGGCCTCACCTCTTCCTTCGCGCCGTTAAGCTGGGGGCTGGGTGGGTGCTGGGAGCCAAGGCTCTCCCTTGGAGGGGTGAGCACCACTGCCTCCCCTCCTTCCTCATCCAAGGAGCTGACCCAGGTTGACAATGGAGCCCAGGTGCATCTCCTCCAGCTGCAGCCCTGGATAGGGGGTGGCAGGACACACAGGACCGTTGCCAAGGTGATTGTGCTCCTCGGGTCTCCATGGCAACTGCTCCCCTGGACTGCTCCCCATCACTGCCTGGCTGCAGTTGCCCAGGCAACCCATGGGCTCTCCTGGCTCCTGCAGCTTTGGGGCATCCAGGGTTTGGGGGGTGGGGGACAGGGCTGGCAGGCCACTGTCATCCAGGCAGCAGTGTTGGGATGGGAGGGGGATGATGTGCCCCCTCCCCAGGGCAGTGGCCACAATTACAGCCGGGCTGGGAGCTTGCCTGGGGCAAAGGTACCTTGGCAGGGTTGCCTCCAGGACTCACAACCAGATAGGAGGCCCCAGAGGACCCAATAAGGCCTCCTGGGACCCACATGCCTTTTTGTGGGGATGTGTGGGGGAGTTCTTTTCCCCCACCCTGCCTTTTTCTCAGCGCAACCTCTTCCCTGGGCTGCAGAGTGAGCAGTGGGGCCCAGATTCCCCCTCTCACCCCCCCCAGCATCGGGCATCCCCCCCGCAGCAGGAGGGATTTCGGGAAGGAGATAAATACCAGATGGGAGAGGGCCGGGCTGCCAGGAACACACTCCCTGCATGCCAAGAGCTGCTGGCGCGAGTGGGCGCGTGGGCCGGCGAGGGCGGGGGGTGCCCCTGCTCCCCGAGACTGCTCACCTCGTTCCCCAGGGCCCAAGAGCCAGACAAGGATGGGACAATTAAAGAGGGGACTGCAGCCCCCTACTCCCCTTTGGCCCCAAAGGTGCCCAGGGCAGGAAGCACATCCCTTGTGCTGACAGCAAGGAGGGAGGCTGCCACCCCCCAGTGCTGGGGCACAGCCTTACTCTAGCCCCACCCGCTCTCTGCCACTCCCAGGAGGCCCCCAGCCCAGCAGTGGCCTGGCTGCAGACCCAGCTGCCAGTCCTGCCTGGCATGGCTCCGGGCAGCAGCATGACTCACCCACTCAGCTCAGCACCAGCCAGAGCCTGCCATGCCAGATCCACGGCAGGGGCTGGCACAGGGGCTGCCCGGCCACGCTGTGGTGCCCACATCACCAGACAAACCCACTGTGTGCCTCCCATGAGTATTTGGTCGGGAGCAGGACAGGGGGGAGCTCACAGTGCCTGGCTGAGCACTGCCCAGCCTCCCTCCGTGTCACACAGGCCACACATCCTGACAGCTGCCTCCTCACACCCACAGGGTGCCCCTGTGTGCCAGCCCATGCCCATGGCCTCCACCCGCTCCCCCCAGGGCTGCCAGCCCGCTCTGCCTGCCTCCCTGTCTGTTGTCATGGTGACCAGATATGTGGTGACAGGCGAGGATGGAGCCTCACACCCCAGCAGGGCTGTTTGCCCAGAAGGGTTGGCTACCCCCCCTTTCTGCTCTTCCCCTGTCACTCCCAGGTCTCGGCAGGGCACCCTCCGTGAAGCCCCTGCCCCAGGCAGTGTGCTGGGGGTGCTCCATCTGCTCAGATGCCACGATCGCAGCTGTGTCCCAGGCAGCTCATGTGAGGAATGGGGACAGTGCCATCCTCCTTCCACCTGCCCTGACAGGGCACCCCCGTCTCAAAGCCAGGCTGTGCACAGAGACAGACAAACTCATCTCAGTAATGACAACCTGTCTTTCTTCCCAGGGGGAGACACTGTCCCTCCCTCAGACACAGCCTGATCTTCCCACAGCAGCAGCTGCAGGAACAGCAGAAGATGAGGAGCATGCCACTCCTGCACACTTGCCCTGGACTCACCCACAGAACAGCTGCCAAGCAGGACACCTGTCCCCCAACATCTCTGCCCTGTGGTGACAGTTTTCACCACAACCATCATCTCACAAGGTCATCCCCACTGTCTGTACCCAGCCCAGTGTGTGTCTCTGCTCCCCCAAAACACCTGGACTCTGGCACAGGCAGCACACAAGTGGCATCCCCCTCTGGACTGTGGCTACTGAGAGCCAGCAGCAACAGCCAGGGACGGGCACAGTCCCTCGTGCTGGGATGGGGACTCGGGGAGAGCATCACTGCCAACAGCAGGCGCTCAGTGAGGCCCCCAGTGGCTGCCACTGCTGTGAAACAGAAGTGCCATTTCACGTTTCTTGGCAGGGCTGGAAGCAACACAGATGGAGGCACCCGCACTGGCCTCCTGGCATGCCTTGGCAGCCCCCAGCTCTGTGGCACCAGCCCCAGGTGATAGCACCACCTCCCAGACGTGCAGCAGGGAAAGCCCTGGGTCCTGTGGCTGATGCTTCCTGCCTCCTTTCAGATCCCTGGCATCCACTCACTGCCTGCAGGGATACCGACCCCGTTCCTGCCAGGCCTTGGACTGGATGGCAGTGCCTGGTGGTTCCCAGCTCCAGCTGCCCAGGGTCCCTGCAGAGCATGGGCAGGACGTGCTCCACCACGAGCCTCTTGCACACACACGAGGTGATTTTCCACCATAAAACCATTTGAACCATCAGTGACTGCAGGAAGAGCTCTCACCTCCATCACAGCACCTGGACTAGGCACCCGAATTCCCACAAGAGTGCAGGGCTCAGGGGCAGTATCCAGGTGTGGAGCTAGGGCATGGCAGGGACTGGTGAGCTCCCAGAGCATCGCCTGAGTGTGGACAATGCAGCACAACCTCTACTGCCAGCCCCACTGCAGCTGGGAGTCTGATGCTGTGTGTCCCAGCTCCATATCCACTGGGGGAGCAAGGCTGGCCCCCAGCCCTTGCATCATCCCCAAGGTGTCCCAGCTCAGGGGCTGCTGCCCAGATTTACGGAGCCAGGGAAGGAAGAACACCGTGCTTCCCACTCCCACAGCCTCTTCTTTCCGCTGGAGCTGGCTTTGTGTCGGACAAAAGGCTGCAAAGGAAGCAAGAAAGGAGATTACGTGGCTGCTAAAAGACGAATAAGGAAGGTGGGATGAGAGCCAGGGGAAGGAGGGTGCTCATCTGGCTCACCAGGGGGGATGCTACATGCAATGGCAGGGGATGAGGGGGGTCTCTTATGCACCCCATTGCCAGCCCACGCACATTCATGTCCTTGGTACCTTCCCCTGCTACTCAGGGATGTGTGACAAGCAGCACCCTTGGGGAACCAGAGACTAGAGCTGCCCCAAGGAGATGCAGAGCCCAGAGCCACATCATTGCCCTGTCCCACCCACAGCCCAGCTGTGCTGGCACAAATCCAGCCCTCCTCCTGCCTGGGATGGGCAGACAGTCCTTCCCACACCCCAAATCCCAGGCCCACAGAGCTCCCCCCCACCCCACAGCCAAGCCAAGTAGCTCCCCCAGGTGTGAGGCATTGTGCAAATACAGGTATGGGATATGTGGGGCCATTCCCAGGGTGACCCCTTTCCAGCCTCTCCCAGGCAGCCTGCCAGGCTGGGAGCCCTCCTGGAGCGCTGCACCGGTGCCACTCACATCCCACACAGCCCATCTGCTGCTCTTGTCGCTCACCCCCGGCCCCGCGCGTGCCACGCTCTGCCTGTCCCTGCCCACGGGCAGTGGCACGTGGGCTCAGCAACGGGAAAAGCAGGCCACATCTCAGCGTGGGCCTCTTGCCTATTTTCCCAGGCACTTTTCACAGGAGCAGGAGCTTTCACATGAAAAAGTTCAAGCTGGTTCCCCAGCAAAGGCATGAATAAATGAATTGCCTTGCCAGGAGAGCAGGTACCACTGCCCCGACCTGGCTCTGGTAGGGGACAGCAGGGACCAATATTCTGCAGATCCAGACACAAAGGTAAAATCATGGCTGAGCCTTCCCAAAATAGAAGAACCTGCCTGCCCTCATGGATCAGCCCAGCTGATGCTCTTCTGCAGCACCTTTCAACAAGATCTTTCAGCAAGACTATGGAGATGCTGGAACAGCAAGATGGACCACAGGGCTATCTGGAAAACACCACTTTCACCCCCTCAAGATATTCCCATCGAGCCATGGGCTGGCATGAATGAAGTGCCATTTCTATTCAGGGATCTGGCTTTGCTGCAACCCAGGACCCCGACATAGGCAGTGGGAGCTGGATGTGAGGGAAGAGCAGGAACCAGACTGCTCCAAAACAGGATGGTCCTCTCCAACCAGACATAGCCACCGCTGCTGTCACCATCAGTCCAAGATCCAGGAGTCATGGCTGTACCCACAGGTCACTCAAGAAGCACCAACTTTATCCTCAGCTTAAATAGCCCCCCAGCTGCCCCAGGTGACCTGAATAAGGGAGGTCCTGGGTGAGGCTGCTCAGAACCATCAATGCCAATTAATGTAATCACTGTCCTGGCAGTCAACCATGTAGGAGGAAAGATCCAGGGAGGATCTGGGGTAGAGGTGTATAGATACAAATGGGGCTCTGGGGGGACACTGGGATCACCCCTTGCTGTCCCATCGCAGGTCCCCACAGGACACAGCCCTTCCCTTTTTCTACAGAGCCCCCAGGGAAGGGTCAGTGGGACGAGGGGCATCCCAGGGCACAGTCTCCACGTGGCCACGCTTACAGACTCTGTGGAATTACACCTGTGCACACCTGCATTCCTGCAAAGATACAGAATGGGAGGATGTGTACAAACACATGCACACGTGGGGGCCAAGAGGACTGGCAGGGGTTGAGGCAGGACTGGTGTGGCTGCAAGGGGGAACCCCAGCACTGGATGGGGCTACAAGAGTGGGTGCCTGGATGGGTGTTGGGCAAGGGACACAGGTGAGGGGCTGAGGTAGACCCGGGGTGGGAGCTGGCCGGAATCTGAAGGTTGAGGTTTCTGCTCTGTTGGGTGCTGCGGGACTGGAGCAGGGTGTTGGGGCTCTGTTTGGCATCACCTCTGCATGCCGGGGGAGGGCTCAGCTGTGTCTGCTGGTCCTCAGCTGTCTGACCCGGTGGCACCCGGCTGTGACAAGGGCTCCCCTCTCCACAGGGGCACCCGTGCTTGGGGGCACCCCCGAGTAGAGGCGAGCGCCTCGGAAAGGCTGTGCTGGGGGAGCACTGCGCTCCGGGGCCGGGCCCGGGGCGATGCCGTGGTACGGTCCCCATCCCGAGCGGGCGCTCCCGGGGCACCGGCCGTGGGGGTCCCCCGTCCCTGTCCTGGCCGGGCCGGGCCGGGCCGCGGCGCTCCGGAGCCGCCCCCCGCCGGGGGGGTCCCCGCTCCCCCCGGATGCATGACTTCATCCTTCCGCCCGGGTTTCCTCCCCGCCGCCGCCGCCGCCGCCGCAGACCGGCTCCCGGCTCGGCGCGGCGCGGCTCGGCCCGCTCGGCCCCGCCATGTCGCAGGTGCTGCCCTACGGCGAGGACAAGGTGGGCCGCTACGGTGCCGAGCCCGAGGCGGGGGAGCTGCCCTTCAGCTGCCGCCTGCAGGACACCAACGCCTTCTTCGGGGGCAACCAGGGCAAGCGGCCCCCCAAGCTGGGACAGATCGGCCGCGCCAAGAGAGGTACCGCCGACCCCCGCCTCTGCCCCCCCACCCCCCCCCCGCCCCCCGGTCCCCCCGCCTGCAGGACACCAACGCCTTCTTCGGGGGCAACCAGGGCAAGCGGCCCCCCAAGCTGGGACAGATCGGCCGCGCCAAGAGAGGTCCCGCCGACCCCCGCCTCTGCCCCCCAACCCCGCCTCAGCCCCCGGATCCCCTCATCTGCCCTTCAGCATCCCCGGGTTTGTCCCGGGACCCTCGGATCTGCCCTGCAGCATCCCCTGCATCCCTGGTGCTGACTCCTGCATCCCCGGCACTGCCCCACGGCATCCCCGACACCCCCGGATCTGTCCTTTTATCCCTGGTGCTGACTCCTGCATCCCCGGCACTGCCCCACGGCATCCTCAGAACCCCCACATCTGTCCTGCAACGTCCCCGGCACTGCCTCCTGCATCCCTGACGCTGCCCCACGGCATCCCCGGGACCCCCGGCTCTGCCCTGGAATCCCCGGCTCTGCCCTGCAGTATCCCTGGCTCTGCCCTGCAGCGTCCCCGGGTCTGCCCTGCAGCATCCCTGGCACTGCCCCGCGACATCCCCGGCGCTGGCCCTTGCATCCCCAGCACCTTCCCATGACATCCCCGGGATCCAGGATTCTGCCCTTGCTCCCCCGGCGTTCCCGGCACTGGGCAGTGCATCCCTGGCACCCCCAATATCGCCTCACGAGATCCCCAGACTCCCGATTCTGCCTTTGTATTCCCAGTTCTGCCCCATGGCAATCCCTGTCTCTGCCCTGCAACATCCCCAGTACTGCCCCACTGCATTCCTGCGACTCCCGGCTCTGCCTTGCATCCCCAGCACTGTCCCCTGCCACCCCTGGCACTGCCGCCAGCATCCCCAGAATCTCCATCTCTGCCCTACATCAGCTCCAGCACTGTCCCCCGGCAACCCTGAGACTCCCCAGCTCTGTGACTGACACCCGCCCCCAGAACCACAGGCTCCCCCATCCCCTGCTCCAGACACCACGCTGTTCCCCCAGCGCTGCCTGCAACAGCCCCCGCCTCATGCCGGGACTACCCCTGGGATTACCCTGCAGCATCGCTGGGGCTGCCCCGGGACTGTCCCCCAGCACGTCCAGAGCGCCCCTGGGACCCCTCGGGAGTGCTCCTCAGCACCCCTGGGACTGCCCCCTTCTCATTCTGGATAAACAAGCCTTTGCCCGAGCATCACCAGGCACAGCCCTCCCTGAACCTCTCTCCCTTCACATTTCTGCCTGCCGCAGAGACCCCCAGCAGCCTCTGGCCATGCTGCTCAGCAAATCCCCCCCACCACTTTACTGTCCCCCGGGATTCCGTGAGCACAGCTGTGTCCTGCCCCCCCGTACTTCACCTCCTGCTGCAGAGACCCCAGCAGCATCTCCCCTGCTTCCATCAGGACCCAAAGAACTGCCCCAAAGAACTGCCCCCCTCTGCTGCCCGCACCCTGATCTGTCACCATTGATCCTCTCCAATGCCTTGGGGACCCTTAAAAATGGCCCCCCCTTTTCCTGCAGCCCCCATCCCACCTGCTTGGGGGTCCTCCATAGGCAAACAGCCCTCCTTAAGCTGCAGGGATAAGGAGGGAGGGGAGAGTTCCCCCCCAGCTCCAATACACCCCAGCCCCACGGGGGGTGAGCTGCCTGCCCCACTGCCCCCTTTTGCAGTGCTGGAGGCTGGGTCTAGCAGCACCCCCGGGCTGATGGGGGGATGGTTCTCCTTCGGTGGTGTTGGGGGGGTCCACCTGCTCTCTCAGTGATTCTGGCGATGGGTTTGGGGGTTCTGGTTAATCCACCCCCAGGAGGATGATGGGGGGGGATTACTGACCACCCCAGCAGTGATATTGGGGTGAGGGTCTGCCCTCCACCCCCAGTGATGTTGATGGGAGGTCCCTGCCCAGGCTGTCATGGTGTGGGGTAGGGGAAGGTGTGTGTGTGCAGCTCCCTGGTGATGCTAACGGGGGTCTGTCAGCCTCCCACCACTGCTGCTGCTGCCGGGGAGGGGGCTGCCCAGTAGGTGATGCTGAGGGGGGGTTCTCTCTGGAAGGTGACATGACGGGGGGCTCTCCAGCCCCCCATGGTGACGCTGATGGGGGTTCATGCAGCCTGCCATGCTGCTGGGGGGCTGTGCGGCTCCCCCCAGCGATGCCGGTGCTGAGGGTGGGTGTCCTGCGCAGCGGGTGGTGCTGATGGGGGTCTGGCTGCCACCCCCGCCGAGCAGGCGGTGCCCCCCCCGCTGGGTCATTACCCATTCCAGTCCTGTTGCTCTCATCAGCGCCTGCCGCAGAGAGGAGGGGGGGTCCTTCCTGGTCTATTCCTGCCCCCCCTTTCCCTAATCACCCATCCAGAGGCAGCCGGCTGGCTGCAGGGGGGATGCTGCCCCTACCCAAGCCGGGCAGGGGGGTGATCCCCCACCCTTCATCCCCATTGTACCCACCTGAAACCCCTTTGCCCAGCACCTGGGGGGCACACCTGGAGTCTGAAGGGGGTGAGAGGGGCAGAGGCTGTCGCGTCCCCTCGCCCACGCGCCCCCCCTGTCCCCGCAGTGGTGATCGAGGATGACCGGATAGACGAGGTGCTCAAGGGCATGACGGAGAAGTCGCCGCCGGGGGTGTAAGCCGGGACCCGCCGCCAGGACCCGCCGGCCGAGCCCCGCTCCAGCCCGCCGCCCCGCATGCTGGCTGGACCGCCGACGAGGAGGGGGAGGCCATGCCCGCTGCCCCCCCCGGCCCGGGGGGGGGCCCTGCAGCCACCACCACCCCCCCCCGAGCCATGCACTTTACCCCTCCGCCTCCCCCGGGGCCGGGACAAACCGCCGAGCCCCCCACCCTGGGCGAAGACCCCCCTCCCCGGGGAAGGGGTCCAGCCCCCTGCTCCGCGGCGCGTCCCCCCAATCCTCCTTGGCGGAGGGTCCCCGAATTGCGGGCCCACCCGGCCCCATGAGCAGGGGGGGGAGCGCTGCTGTCCAGAGACATTTTTTGCTCCATCGTTTTTTGCATGAGCTTGGTGGCCCGGGCGGCCGGCCCGGGGGCCGAGGGTCAGCCCCACCACTCCGGCACGCTTCTTTTTAAACAGAAACTCCTCATATTTGTATTTTTATATCCGAATCTTTGTTAAAAACGATCTGCTGACGTTGAGATGTCAAAGTAACTGCATCGAGAAAACAAACGAAAACAACCGACCAACCAACAAAAAAAAAAAAAGGTTCATATTTTTTTCCATAAGAAAAAAAAAGACAAAAAAAGAAGAAAAAAACGAGGGCAAAAATTAAAGGGGGGCGAGAGTGATGGAGGGAGCATGAGGAAAGCCACAGGAGGAGGGAGGGGAGCAGGGACCCCTGGCCCGACCCCCGCTGGCAGGCAGCAGGAGCACCGGAGCTTTGGCAGCATCACCGGCCGCTGCAGTTCCTTCCCGGCAGCACCGGGGCAGAGCCCACCGGGGCCAGCTGCAGGTGCCAGGGGGGGTCCCAGCACTGCCCCTCGCTTGAGGGTGGTGGGGTCGGGGGAGAGTGGGGAGGGCAGGGACCGGCCTGAGTCGTTGTTTTTAATTTTGTACTTTAATTTAATTTTATTTTTTAAGAAGCTTCTCGGGGGGTTCTGATGTGCATGAGAAACTTGTCATCTTTTACAATAACCTACGAGTGGCATTTATGGAGACAACGACACAAAAAAAAATAAAAAATTACAAAAAAAAAAAAAAACAAACAAAAAACTGAGGAAAAAAGAAAAAAAAACGAAAAAAAAGATACTTGTGTCATGATGTTCTACGAATGATCCATTGTAAATTTAAATGCCATTTTTCACTGTACTGGTGAACAAAATGCAATGAATAAAATACATTCATGTACCCAGGTGAAGCCGGCAGTCGCCTGCTCCTTTCTGTCCCTTCCTCGTGCCAGCTGCTTTTTGGGGTGCCTGTGGGATGGGGTGGCATGGCCAGGACAGGGGCTGACCCCGGTGCCCTTCTCTGGCTCCTAGTGCAGGGGGAGCCGCTGGCTGACCCACTTACACCTTCTGCCCGAAATAGCAGCCCAGAGCTTGCGCCTCGGTGGTGTCACTGCCAACCCGCAGGAGGGGTCCCTTCTGCCCACCCCAAAGAGCCTCTGGGGACACTGCCAGTGACACCCATGCACCTGCCACAGCAGCACACACACGCAGCCAGTCCCACAGCACGCGGTGGCCCACCCGCCCTGGCACACACGTGTCACTGTGCTGCTGGCCCCAGGCACAGGGGGACACGGGCCAGGCGTGTGCGGCACACCGGGATTGTCATCACAGGCAGCAGTGGGGATGGATGGGGACAGAGGCAGATGTGCTGCCCTCCTGCCCTGTGGCACCGCCTGCTCCATGCTGGCACGTTCCACCTGGACCCCCCGCTACTTGGGGGGGGACAAGGACAAGGACATGGTGCCCTTGCACACCCCCATGGCCAGAGAGGCTGGGGCAGGAGTCCTGGTGCAGGATGGGGTGGGGGGGAGTGGAGCAGTGGCACCCCCAATCCTGCCCCCCATACCCAGTGCCAGCACCCCCATTCTGCCCTCAGCCCGGCCGTCCGTGCCAAGGGGAAGGGATGGGGGACAGGGAGCCACTCCCTGCAAGATGGATGGGTGAAATTAAACCCGATTTGGTTTCATTACTGGCTGCAAAGCCTGGAGTCCTGGCTGCTCTCCAGCTCAGCAAGGAAAGGCCAGGGAGGGGACACAGAATCACCAGAGCATCCCTGTGCCCCCCGGAGGAGACCAAGTATCCCCCTCTTTCCTCCCATTACCCACATCACTGGGCAGCTTGCAGGGGGATGCAGCGGTTCCCTGTCTCCCTCCTGTGAGGATGGAGCATCTTAAGGCTTTATTGGGTGGGGGGAGGTTGGGAAAGCCCCCTGGCTCACAGCTGGATGGCAAGGAGATAGTCCTCATCGTCGTCTGGGGGGGCGAGGGGCGGCGGCGGGGCGGGGGCCGGGGGCGGCTGGTGCAGCCGGCGCCCCAGGGCCACGTCCCGGGGGTCCAGGGGCTGCCCCTTGCGCATGACGTACACGAAGTAGTGGAAGGCACCGGCGTCCCCGTCCCCACAGGCGGCGTGGCGCAGGGACCAGCCAAAGGCCTCCTGGGCATAGTGGGGCTTGCGGAAGTGGGGCTGGGCGAAGGTGATGGAGATGAAGCAGCCCCCTGGGCGCAGCACCCGGCTCACCTGCGTCAGGAGAAGCCCCAGGGTGGGGTGGGGGAACACAGTGAGGTTCACTGCTTTGGCTCCCTTCCCAGGGACCCCTTCAGCATCTGCCAAAGACCCCTCCCAGCCTTTCCCATCACGCCCCCAAATCTCTTGTCCTAACCTTGACCCCCCAAGAGACACCCCGGGTCTGATCTGTCCCCAGACCATGCACGGGGTGGGGCAATCAGGAACAGGGGATCCCATGCTCCATCCCTCCCTGCACCCCAAGAGTCTTCACTCCCATCCACAGCAGACAGCATAGAGACCCAACCCTGGCATGGGAAAAGCTTCACCCTTTCGAGCACAGGGCCCCCCCAGGCACAGCATGGGACACCCATCCCACCCACCCCTCCCCAGGCCACCCAGTACTACCACCAACACCCAGAATCAGAGGGGGATGCGGGGGGTGGGAAAGGACTCAACCCTTTTAATCACCATTTTCTCCCTGCTGGAATTAAGCCCCGCTAACAGGATGGAAAAGAACATCAATTTTCCTGCTTGGCTTTATCCAATGTCAAAAGGCTTTTACGGCCAGCGCCCGCGTGCTCAGCATGCAAAGGCAGTGCCCGGGGCGGGCGGGCGTCCAGCCCCCTCCCCGGCACCCTGTCCCAGGCGGGGACACCCCCAGACCCCCCCGGCAAGGGCAGAGAGTCACCGCTGCAGGGGACAGGGCTGGAGGCCAAGTGGGGGTTTTCCCGAGCTCTGGTTTAATCCTGCTGGGAAGCTCCAGCTGGGGAGCTCTGGCTGGGGCCAGTGGAGGGGACAGGCAGCCTGTGTGTCCTCCCCTGCTGCGGCGGTGGCTTTTGAACCAAACCCTACCGGTTTTGGCCAGGAAAAGGTGAAGGCAGGTCCCTACATCCCTCTCTGGGCACCCGGCTCAGTATCCCTCCTGCTACGCGTTTGAAAATCTGCCCTGGGAAGACCCCACAGCTTCCCAAGCTATGGGCGGGGAGGGGGTCCCCGGAGGTGGGGGCAGGCAGGGATCTCCGGCTGGAACTGAGCGAGGCATCCCGCATGTCCACATCCCATCCCTCGTTAATAGAGCAATAATGGCCGTTGCTTGGAGACGAGCGCAGGAAACCTTCCCATCAGGAAACCTTCCCATCCGTCAGCAAGAGCAGGGGGGCTGAGGGGGCTGCTTCCCGCTCCCGCCACACCCGCTGTCCCCAGCTCGCTGGGACAGGGTGTCCCTGGGCTGTCCCCACAGGCAGGGTGGATTTTCAGGTCCTTACATGCCCCCCAGGAGAGGAAGACAGAGGCTGTGAACCCCCCAGAAGGGGGATGAGGGTGGGGAGGGAGGTACCACGGACAGACCCTCTGAAGGGACTTCCAAAGCAGGGAGCAAGTGGGAACACCCAGCGAATCCCCCTGGGGATGAGGACAGCAGGGACCGGCTGCGGGTGGAAGCGATGCTGGGGGAGGGCAGGGATTGAGCAGAGGATTAAAAAGGGAAAAAAAAAAGGGAAAATTAAATCCCTGCCGTTTGGCAAAATGACAAGGACAGGCAGCAGCGCTGGCAAGGAGGGCAGGGCACGGATAGCGAGCACAGCCCCACTGCCCTGCCGGGGGTTGCAGTCCCTTCTCAGGCTCAGCCAGGCAAGAGAGGATTGGGAGGGTTGTCAACAGCCATGAGCACCCTTCCAGCACCCTGCAACCCCAGGGTGCCAGGGAGGTGCAGCAATTAATTATCCTGGCAGTTATTCCCGCAGGGTGGGAGAGGCTGCCAGGGCCCGCACCCCCGCGCCGGGACAGGTTCAATCCGGTCCCGCCGCCAATTAACAGGGCCCCGAGGCATCACCCGTCCCCGTGGCAACACCATGGCCCTGTCGATGCTGATGGGAGTTGCCATGGCAACACCAGACCAGATGATGGGGACCCCGGCTAAGGCGATCGAAGCTAGGGCGGGGGGGCCAGAGCTCTCACAGCCCCACGGTCATCACCTTGCCCTGGGCAGGCAGGGCCACCTCGGTGTGTCCCCCTAGGTCCCTTGCAGCCACCCACACCAGGATGGGGCTCATTTTTCCGGCCAACTCTTTGTATTTAGCATGCAAATAAAGAGAGGGGTCATCCACTCCCCCAGCAGGACCCAGGGACACATCCTGCTCCATCCACCTCCCTGGGAGGAAATGATGGGCTGCAGGAGGGGGCAGTCTCCCACCCCCAGGAGTGCTGGGAGCTCCCCAGGTACCCCCCTGCAACACAGCTGAGGGGCAGCACCGGCTGGGAGGACAGAAACACCGGCTGGGGCACCCACAGGGAAGCAGGGTGGAGAGGAGGCACTCAGCACCTTCCCCCACCCCAAACGGGGACGGGGTCCACCCTCTGCCCCCTGCTCGGGCCCCCCCACCCCGTACCTCTGCCAGCACGCGGCGCATCGCAGCGGCTGCCTGGGGCGAGATGTGCCAGGGGTCGGTTTCCTCCACCATGAGCACGTCGAGGGTGCCCTTCTCCAGCACCACGTCGAAGGAGGCATCGGGGAAGGCAAGGGCGCGGATGTCCATGACGGCCCAGCGCAGGCCGGGGCAGCGGGCGTGGCGGGCGCGCATGGCCGCGATGCAGGCGGGCGAGAAGTCGATGCTGGTGACGTCGGTGTAGCCCAGCTCGTGCAGGTCGTGGCTCAGGGCGCTGTTGCCGCAGCCTGTGTGGGGCACAGCTCACACAGGGCTCGGGGTGCCCGGGGGGGTGCTGGCACCCCTGCTCTGTTCCCGTGATCCAGGGGAGGGTGCGGGTGGGCTGGGGCTGCTGGAGAGGGGCACGTCATGGCTTCGACGCCACTTAATGAGTGTTGGGCTAGTCACTAATTACCCCTGTCCTGACAGGTGGGTGCTTTGGGCTCCTGTCCTGGGGCAGCGCTGCACACCCGATCCCCTCACCTTGGGGTGGGAGGCGTGGGGAGGCTGGAGGCAGGAAAGAGGCAGGGGGCACCCCCAGTTTTCCCTCCCGCAGTGCTGGGGGGCAGGAGCCGGCCGTGGTCCCAAGAGCCTGCTGGATAACTCCAGTGGGAAATTAGGGAACTTCGGCGGAGGGCTTAACAGGGTGCGATGGCGAAAGGGACGGAAGAACTGCTGTCTCAACAGGACACGGGGGGACACGGGCAGTGTCCCGCCACCAAGCCCTCCCCTCGGAGCCGCTCCACCGGGGCTCGGCCGCTCACCGGGGGGGCCGAGGGGGATCTCGGGGAGGGGGGCGGATTTGGGGGCTATTAAGCGCAGCTGGCAGCGGCTGATCCGCTAACAGGATCGGTGATTACACCCGCTTAATCCCGCCGGCGGATCAGACCGCAGGTGGCATTACGGGGCGGCTATACCCGCCCCGCTGCCCGCCAGCACCCCCGGCACTGCGGCCACCCCGCCGGGCCGGGCTGGGCGCAGCTCCCGGTACCGGCCCGGTGCCACACCGCCCCCTGGCGGCTAGCGCCAGCGCATCCACCGGCGGGACCCCGAGCCCCGCCCCCGTCCCGGGGGGGGGCGGCGGGCGCGCGCCGCCGCTCCATGCGCGGGAGCGGGGCGGGAGCACCGGGCGCCACGTGCCGCCCGCGCCCCCACGTGCGGCTTCCGGGCCGGGCCGGTGCGCCGCGCTAAGCGCTCCGGGCGGAAACACGGAGCGGAATGGCGGCGGGGCGGGGGGCGGCGGCGCTGCGGCGGGCATGGCGGGAGCGGCGGGCGGCGCTGCTGGAGCCCCGCTACACCCCGCTGGTGGCCGCCTGCCTCTGCCTGGCCGAGGGCGGCGTCAACCTCTGGGTCATCCGCAGGGTCCCCTGTGAGTGCCGGGGCCCGGCCCGGCCCGGCGCTGCCTTGGGCTAACCGCGGGGATGGCGGGGCCGGTCCAGGACGGCTCGGCCCCGGGGTGGGAGGTGATGGCGGGGCTTGTCCCGCGGCAGCGCGGGGATGCCGCGGGCACGGGGACAGCCCTGCCCCGGCCCCTCGGGTGGCAGCATCCCCGGGAGGGGGACAGGGCCGGGCGGGGGCCAGGATGGGGCCGAGGAGGGACGCGGGGCTGGGCTGGGGCTCCTGGATGCGGCCGGCAGGGGAAGAGCCCGTGCTGCCAGCCTGGCAGGGAGGCACAGGGTCGGGCTGGCGGGTGTGGAGGTGGGTCAGCCCCCGCAGTGCCCTCCGGGCCCCCCGAGCCGCGCCTGACGCCGCCGTCCCGCAGACACCGAGATCGACTGGAAGGCCTACATGCAGGAGGTGGAGGGCTTCGCCAACGGCACCCTCGACTACACCCAGCTGCGGGGTGACACCGGGCCGCTGGTGTGAGTGACAGCGACACCCAGCCCTCCGTGACCAGCGGCTCCCGGGGGGCCGCGGGGCCCGGCCCCTCACTGCCGTCTCCCCACAGCTACCCCGCCGGCTTCGTTTACATCTTCCTGGGGCTGTACCATGCCACGGGCCGCGGCTCCGACATCCGCCTGGCGCAGTACCTCTTCGCCGGCCTCTACCTCCTCAACCTGCTCCTCGTCTTCCGCATCTACTGCCGAACCAACAAGGTACCCTGAGGCCAGGGCTCCTGCCGGCCTCCTCGGGACCTTCCCTGGGGAGGCTCTGCTGAGCCCTCACCCCGGCCTAATGGACCCAGGCTCAGGGCTCGGGTGTGGAGGAGCTCAAGCAGCAGCAGGGAGTCCAGGACAGGCTGCTGCTGACCCTCTTGTGTTTCTGTCCCCTGCAAGGTCCCTCCGTATGTTTTCTTCTTCATGTGCTGCGCCTCATACCGCATCCACTCCATCTTTGTGCTGCGGCTCTTTAATGACCCTGTGGCCATGGCCATCCTCTTCCTTGCCATCAACCTCTTCCTGGAGGAGCGCTGGTCCTGGGGCTGCCTCCTCTTCAGGTGAGGGGCTGGGAGCTGCTCTCCATGGGCTGCTGGGTGCGTGAGCCAGCTCAGCCCCAGGAGGAGGCTGCGCTTGGCTCAGGGGCTGCTTGGGCTCCCGTGTGGGCTCCGCAGTGGTAATGCAGCTTCCTGCTCAGCCTGGCTGTGTCCGTGAAGATGAACGTCCTGCTCTTCGCCCCTGGACTCCTCTTTCTCCTCCTGCAGCGGTTTGGTCTCCTGGGCTGTATCCCCAAGCTCTGCATCTGTGCCCTGCTCCAGGTGGGTCCCTGTTTGCACCAGTGCAGGAGCGGGGAATAGTGGGCTGCCTTGCCAGGCTGCAGAGCCGTGGGTGCAAACAGTGGTACCAGCATCTGTGGCCTCTCACAGCAAGCTGGGTGTTGATAAATAGTCTAACTCTTGTGACTCTCATCTTGGGCTGACTGTCCCTGTCACCACGCGTGGCACTGGGCTTCTCAGGAGGTAGCTGGGGTAACAGTGACCTGGTGTAGGGCTCTGTGATGGTGCTGGTGTGTTCCTGGCAGGTGGTTCTGGGCCTGCCCTTCCTGCTGGTGAACCCTGTGGGGTACCTGACCCGCTCCTTTGACCTGGGCCGCCAGTTCCAGTTTAAATGGACGGTGAACTGGCGCTTCCTCCCAGAAGAGGTTTTCCAGAGTCGAGTCTTCCATGCTGCTCTGCTCCTGGCTCACCTGGCAGGCCTGGGGCTCTTTGCACTGCACCGGTGGCACAGGTGAGATCTGGGATTCCCCACAGGTGTTGATCCCTGCCAATCCCATGTGCAGGATACAAATCCATGACTGCCTGCAGTGCTGCAGTCCTGGGATCGCAGGTGTGAGTTGGAGGGCAGTTACTGTTCTATTTTGGGGAATTTAAGGCCCAGGCATTGTGGCTCACAGGGGAACACTGGGGTGGGAGAGACTTTCAGCAGCTGAGATCAATGTTTGTTCTTCCCTCTCAGTTCCAAAGAGAACATCCTGACTCTGTTGAAGGATCCTGCCAAAAGGAAACCTGCATCCCCTCGCTTGACTGTGAACAATATCCTTTGGCAGGGTGGGCAGCAAGGAGAGAGGGAGAAGGCAGGGCAGGGAGAAACCTGGTTGGGTCCCAGATCATGCAGTGCTGCTGTACCAGCCTGCCCTGGAGAAAGGAGCTATGCTGGGGAGTTGTTGTGGGACCACACCTCCAGCCTCCTGTGTTTGCCCCCTTAATGCCAGTGCATGGATTGTCTTCATCCTCTTCTCCTCCAACTTCCTGGGTGTCTGCTGCAGCCGCTCCCTGCACTACCAGTTCTACGTCTGGTATTTCCACACTCTGCCCTACTTACTCTGGTGCACCCCGACCACCAAGCTCGCCCACATGCCCAAGTACGTGCTGGCAGGGAGGGGGAGCACCCATGTGCTGGGGGTCTGGGGGCGAGGATGGCTGGTGTGTCCCCCAGGCTGACCCCCAGCTTTCCCCCTGGACAGGGTGCTGCTGCTGGGCGTGATCGAGCTCTGCTGGAACACCTACCCCTCCACAGTCTGCAGCTCCCTCTCCCTGCACGTCTGCCATGGACTCATCCTGCTCCAGCTCTGGTACGGCACGGCCCCCACGCCAGTGTCACACACCCCTCCACAGAGCAGGAAATCCACAGCCGTGTCCAAGAAAGCCCAATGAGAGTGGGGATGGCTGGCCAGTGGGAACTGGCTTCTGGAACTGCCCCATCTGCCTGTTCTTTTCCCACTTGACTCCCAGGCTGCCCACAGCAATCCCAAGAGGGCCATGAGCCCTGGAACTCTGCAAAGGGGGCAGGTGTGGGGACTCCCAAAAGGCAGAACTTCCCAAATAAAGGGGGCTTTGTGTGCCCTTCCCAAAAATCCTTGTCCTGTGATGATGTCAGAGCAGCTGTCCCTGGACTTGCCCCACCTGAGGGAAGGCAGAGCATCTTCTAGAGCCATGAGCACTCTTACTTCCCAGCTGTGGGAACAGGGTGCCCAGGGCTAGGCAGCAGCCTCTGGGGTGAGGTTAGAAGAGAGGAGTTGCAAAACTGCTTTGCCTCAAGGTTTCACTTGCTTTGATGGAACCCAGGAGCCCCTCCAGTACAGCTTTTCCTATTCCCCTGCCTGCTCCCTCCCACCAGAGACGGCTGGGAAGGGGGTGACCCCCTCCTAGGAGTCTGGTGAGTCCTGGCATGGCCTGAGTGGAGCCAGCAGCTCTCTGCTGATAACAGAGACACCAGTGCAGGTGGCTTGGAGCCAGGTGTCTTTATTGGCCCCTTGGGCGGCCGTCAGACGTTGTTGGGGTTGTAGCACAGCATGTTCAGCGTGATGTTCTCGTCCCAGTGACGCAGCAGCAGGAACAAGTGCCTGGCTGCCCCTTTGAGGCAGCCCACGTCCACCCCCTCGGGCAGGCGCTGTGCCTGCAGCCACGCGTCCGCCTTGGCTGCCACCAGCTCCCACTCCTCAAAGAACCCAGCGCAGCGATGCTCCAGCCACGCCAAAGCCACCGCCGTGGCCCAGCTGGCACTCTCCAGATCCTCTGGCCCCGTGTCCTGACAGCTCACACCGGCCTCAGAGGGGGCAGCCGAGTGGGGCCCGGTGTCGGACTCGGAGCCGTGCCCGCTGTCCGCCTGCGCCCACGCGGCTGCGCTGAGCACCTCGGAGCAAGTGCTGCGGGATGGGGGCGAGCTGGGCTGCGGGGCTGTGATGGGCTCCTCGCCCTCCTCAGCCCCGGGTCCTGCCTCAGGCATGCTCCTGGCTCCTGGGGACACGGGGCTGAGGCTGGCACGGTGGGAGGCGTAGGGGGAGGCGCGGCGCAGGCGGTCCAGGGGGATCTGCACCACTTCAGAGAAGCTCTCGGTGAGCTGGAACGGACCCCGGGCTTGCTGCAGCTGCACCTGCAAGGAGGGGACACAGATGAGTGTGGGGAGCAGGCAGGGGTGCAAACCCACCGCAGCACCAAACACTGGGTGCTGCAGGAGTGTCCCTGGGGCACAGGGACAGTCTAATGCCCCCCAAAAAGCCAGCCAGAGACATTTAAGGATGCAGCAGGGCTGAGCAGGCACCTACTGGGAGCATCTTCCGCTGCTCATGCTGCTGGACACGACCTGGGTGGCTCAGCTGGCACCCAGCAGGGCAGGTCCCCCTGCTGGGATGGGGACAGGGAGCAGGTCCTTACCAGCGGGAGGTAGTCATGGCTGGCGTGGTTGCTGGAGCGCTCGCTTTCTGGGCTGAGGCACTGCGGGCGCAGCACCAGGCTGGGACCCCTGCGCCTGCTCAGGCTAAACCTGCGGGGTCACAGGCAACATAACAGGACTGGGGGGAATTCCTGAAAGGCAGCTGGACACCAGACTGCTGCAGGGAAGGGGCTGGAGTGCCAACCCGCCCCCCCCCCACTTTTGCTGCAGGAGCTGGCACAGGACAAGGGACCAGCAGCTCCTAAAAAGTGGCACTGTCCCCCTCTCCCCACAACATGCCATTTTTTGGTCCCTTACATCCCCCCATCCCACAGTGTCACCTGGAGCCTGCAATGCTCTCTGTGGACTTCTGGGAGCCCATGGAGGTGGTGGAGGGGCTGGATGGAGGCCCTGCAAGGGGGAAGAGTTAAGCACAGTGGGAACATGATGCACCCAGAGGTGTCTCCCACTGCCCAGTAGCTGGGAGGGCAGCTCAGCCCACGTGTCCAGGGCAC